GAAGACCCTTGACAATTTGCTGTTGCATATGAAAAGAATATTTTAACATTAGTTTGGGATATCGGTATTATAAAATTCTGCATTTTTTAATAATTTCTGACTTTAGGCAAATAAAAGCCAAAGATCAAGATTATTCAAGGTAAATTTCCTACCCTGTGCTCCTTTATACTCCCAGTTTTCTGACCCCCAATTTTCTAACCATTAGCATGTACCTCCTAAGTTGATCATGTTCAAATATTCAGAACTAAATGGGACTTCTTCCTGAAGTACCTTCCTCCATAGCTACTCAGTCCTCAAACTGCACTGAGAGGTCTGAGCTGAGACCAGTACAACCAGCCACCTGAAGTCACCAACCCATAATCTTGAGGGCTAAATGAATCCTTATTATTTTAAGTCACTGAACTTGTTAACACAGAATTATTGTGTTAATAGGTAATTGATACGTATAGCCAGATGATCAGTAAATGCTTACAGAACCAGATTGTAAAAATATTTGTCTGCCTCCACATATTAACTCCTCAAACACAGACACACAACAACCACAGGTAACAACTATGAAGCAGGTGTTACGTCTATTCTCATTTTACTGATGGAGAAACTGAGGCAGAAAGAAGTGAATGCATTTGCCTAAGATCATAAAGCCAGTTATTAGCAGAACTGGGCCTTGAGCCTCTGCATCTGGTTCCCCAGCCCACGCTTTCAACACTGCACCATGCTTTCAGCTCTTTCTGCACAGCCCCAAGGAGGGGTGCACATAACAAAAGCACCAAAGGAGTTCAGAGAAGGAATAAATTGACATGGGCTGGAAAAAGGAAGGGAAAGGCTGCAGGGAAGACATGAGACTTGACCTGGACCTGGTGGGACAAAGAAGATGGGAGAGCAGGGGAAGGCAGAAGGGACGTAGGGCAGAGGTGCCCCACAGCTGCCCGGGGACTGGAGCGAGCACAGCCTGCCCTAGGCAATGAGGGCTCCCTGCAAACACAGCATAGCAACACCTACTCCCATATTTGGCATGCACTTCCATGTTTCAAAGTCAGGTGTCTGAAATCTGAATAAAGAAGAGTTAAGTTGGTACTATAAAACCCTGACGGCTTGAACAGCAGTAGAACATCCCTAAATATGACTCATGTTGATTCCATCTGCCTTTTGCTCGACCACAGTGGGCAAAGGGATCTCCCCTGGGCATCTCCCTTTCCCCTGAGCTTGCCCCAGTCCTTAGCTGGTGTCACCATTGTCCCTAGGGCTCTGTAGGTACCTGGAGCAGGACTGCGTCTCCCCACAGTCCCAACCCTGACCTGCTCACCCAGGACACAGACTGGGCCACCGCTGCTGGTGGGAGGCTACCTTGTGTAGCCGGTCGGCATCCTTTCTTGGTCTCCCCCCTCCACTGTCGCATCCATGCAGAACGCAGGCCAGGCTGGCCCAGCCAGGGCTTTCTCTATCCTACTTTCATGCCTGTGACTTAGACTGTGGTCTGTGCTGCAGAGCCAGGCAGCTTAGATTCAGGGCAAGGAGAGGGCAAGTCTCATTTAAACCTTCCCAAAGCCATTTTCTCCAATCCAGCTTTCAATCTAAGGCTTTCTAGACCCATCTCATAGCTTTCTCCCCGGCCCCAACCTAATACACATGCTCTGGAGCAACTTGTAACAGACAGTAAACCCAGCAGCTCTCAGCACCCCTGGTTCCATGCACTGAGTTCGTGCAGAGGCTAAGGAGGACGTATGGACGCCTGGGCTTCCCGCTGACCATGGCTCCTCCTGAAACACATCACCTCACTGCAGCGCTGCCTGGGCTGTGGCCAAAGTGTGCAGAAG